CCTACTTCTGTAGTGATACTGCCTCGGAAACCCAAGGAGGGGTCGCTATGAGTTGGGGCCGACTCGACGGCACATAACAACAACAACAGCAACAACATATGCAGTGGGATAGATTAAAAATAAGTACGGAGAAAATAAGGAGCTCTGGTTAATGTTTGGGTGCTAACCAGAAGGTCCATGGTTCAAACCCACCAGTCACTCATGGGGAGAAAGATGCGGCAGTCTGCTCTTGTAGGTATTTACAGCCTTGGAAATAGGTTGCTATGAGTCAGAATTAACTCCACAGCAGTGGGCTTGGTTTGTATACAGAGAAAAATGAGACAAAAGCAAACCAGGAGTGGCAGTTTTGTATACAAAATACATCGTATAAAGTCCAATTGGTTTGGTAGAGGGAACTCTGGTAGCATAACGCCTAAGGCATTTGACTGCTAACCAGAAGGCTGGTGGTTCAAACCCACCAGCCACTCCTCGGAAGGAAGATTGGGCAATCTACTTCCATAGTGATACAGCCTCAGAAACCCAAGGAGGGATTGCTATGAGTTGGATCCGAATGATGGCAGTGAGTTTGGATTTTTGTTGTTGTTGTTGTTTGTTTGTTTGCTAGAAAGGCCACAGATAATGACTCTAAGCTCTGTAGCAACCAAAGAAAAGATCAATTGCAAATGGATAAGTGTTTTGGCTGAAAATGGAACTTGGACTTGAATATGCTTGTGGAGTTGGGTGCCATTTTCCTGAATCTTCCATGAGCCTCTGTAAGAGTAATAGAATGCTTGGGAACACTTACACAGGTGTCTGCTTGTTCTCCAATTTTCATATTCCCTGCCATCAAGTCAGATCCGACTCATAGAGTGCCCCCCCCCACCGCCTTGGATTTCCGAGGCAGTATCACTACAGAAGTAGATTGCCCAACCTTCCTTCTGAGGAGTGGCTGGTTGGTTTGAACTGCCAGCCTTCTGGTTAGTAGTTAAATGCCTCAGGCACTATGCCACCAGAGCTCCTCCAATTTTCGTGGGGCCCTTGAATTTTCTGAAGAGAAACTTTGAACCCTATCTACAATTATGGTTCACATATATGCAGACACGTATAAAAGATACGGGGAAGCTGAATTGCTCAGAGAGTAAGTGAGATTCTGAGAGAAAATCATGGGGAGTGGTGCAGAAGAGAAGCCAGTCTCAGCACAGAGTTCTGGGGGTCAGAAGGTGTTGGAGACTGGTTCTGAGTACTGCCTGCAAATGTCTCCTTATCTAACACCTCCAGGTATCCCTGTGCCTTGAAATCTTGAGAAAGAAAAGAACTATTATAAAAATGAAAGAGCTGTATCACTAGTGGCCCAACCAACTTTTCTGTGGGATCTCCCTCCCAAAGAACTATGTAAGAGTTTAGAATCCTTCAGATTTTTAAGGTAAACTGGTACATGTTCTGTATGCTACTTAATACCTCAGCAGGGTGAAGCAAATCATAGGAATATTAACATCAAGTAAGGTAAAATTACAATTAATCTCAAATCAGTTTGAGTTATATTTGTCACTATAGCATATATTTTTTCTTTTTTTTTTTCCCCCAGAATGAAATATGTTTGTTGAAGGAAATTCACAAAGTGGGAGAAAAAAAAATCACCTATAATCTCACTAGCTGAAAATGACCATTTTCCAGTCCTATTTCTGAATATACATATTTCTGTTGGCATAGTGGATAAGACATTTGACTGCTAACTGGAAAGTCAGCAGTTCAAACCCACCAGCCACTTCTCAGAAGGAAGATGAGGCAATCTACTTCCATAAAGATATAGAACCTTGGAAACCTAATGGGGGTTACCATGAGTCAGAATTGACTCGATGGTAGTGAGTATATCATATGCATGGATATATCATATACATCTATCTATCTTCCAAATTCTTTGTTCAGTGACTTCATATTGATTACTTGAAATTTGCCACACTGGCATTATTTACACCACTGAAATCAGTAAATCATAGCTTTTTCCTCTAGAGAGCCAAATGTTAAAACATTTACCAACACATCCCTGGGTGCAGGAAGATATTTGAATCACACATGTCAATATCTTTGGGTAGTTACAGAAATGTTTGTGGAAGGAATCTCCTGATCATTACTTGGTCTTTTTGATAGTCAGGGGCCTGGAGCATCATGATTTAGGATCTTATTAAAAGTGTGATCTTATTTGTACTTACTATCAGGTAATGCCTGGGACATGCTGGTGCCCATTAGATAAAAGCAGATCAGTGCTGAAAGGAAACCAACCATCACAGTACTGAGACCAGAGAGATGTCCCTATGGAAGGGCCAAAAAAAAAAAAAAAAAAAAGCATTATGGAACACAGTGAACAGCAGCCTTGCAACTTCTTGTAGTAAAGACAGCAAAGACTTTTCATAGGGGTGTGTTTCTTATAATGCTTCTCAATGTCAGTTAATATAGTGCGGGAGTGAGTAGGGTTAGGTGGCAAAATGCAGAGGTTGTGATATACAGATTTTTGCTGCACTGCCTTAATCCAAGATAGTTGGAATGTCCTTTCATAACTATGATTCCTCTCAATAAAGTCTTTAATAAGTCTTAAGTGGCAATAAGTTCTTTTCACT